GGGGGGGCATGAGTGTAAATAAAGTGGTCTTTAACGGCAATAATTGGTAACACAAGATGAAAAATGAATTTAAATAGAAGCACATGGAGCAGTTGTCCTTTGATTTAAAAAAAAATATTGTTCTATTTATTTATATAGCAGTAATACTAGACATTACTACTGTACAATTTTAGTAAAATACAATATCATTTATATCATGGGAAATATTAAATAAATAATGTGAATACAATATGGACAACATCAGATAAAATGCAATTTCCTGTATCAGTAACAATGACAAGCATCTGCACTTTCTACCAAGCTCACCTGAGAGGGAGGGTGCAGCCAGACCGATAGGTGTCGCTCCACCCGACATGTTGTTGGCGCCAGCCTGGTACGAGTAGCTGCTGCCGGCCCCCGCCGCCGCCGCGGTGGTGCCGGCGGCGGAGGGCAAGGTGGCGCTGGACCACGGGAAGCCCGGAAGCGCCGCGTCCGAGTCGTACTGGGCCGACCTCACGCCGGAGTCGTGGATGCCCGATTTCTGACTGATACTGTACTGGGAGGACCTCACACCAGTGTCGTAATGACCGGATCTCAAACTACCACCATACTGGGATGAGATGGCGCCAGTATCGTACTGGCCTGACCTCAAACTGCCGTTATACTGGGCAGATACGGCACCGGTATTCTGCGTCAAGGATCTGACGCCGGTATCGTACTGCCCTGCTTTGACGCCGCCGTTATAATGTCCCGTCCACACACCGGTGTCATACGACATCGATCTCACACCGGGACCGTATTGGGCTGATCTCCCGCCTGCATCATACGTGACTGACCTCACGCCGATGTCCGACCTCCCTGCGTCACTATAGTGGCCCGATTTGAGGCTGCCTTCATAATGGCCGGTTTTGCCGGCTGTAATAAAGTGGCCGGCCGGCAGGCCCGTTTCAAGCAAGCCGGATGAGTCCACGGTGTGGAAGCCATCCGATCTGCCGCCAGGACCAAAGGTCAACACTGTGGAAGAGACAGAGGAGACACAAGACTGTCATTAGAAAAGATAGCTCACAAAAGTCAGCACATCCGTCACAAAAATATACTGTACATTTAATTTTTTTTTTTTAAGTATCTGAAGAAATCTAATTTTGCAACAATCTAAAGTCGACAGTGTCAATTGACAGCCCACTCAAAACAACCCACAGCCATTAATATATAAAACAGTGGCAACAAAAGTGTGACCACCCCGATGTGAAAATGTCAAAACCCGACCCAAAGTTTCAAAATGATTGAGAAACGACTGAAAAACCTCATCACGCTTTCGCACACGCAGCAATTTTTGGAAGTCTGCGTGACTTCTGGGTACATTTACAATTTCTCGATGTCCAAACATTTTTGTAAATATTTTATGATGTCTTTTCATCGCAACAACGTTAAGTAGCCGCTGTAAATGTGCTGTGCCCTCAAAATAACTTCATACATTCATGTATAAACAGCTGCCAACAAAAGTGAGTCCACCCCGAAGTGAAAATGTCAAATTTCAGAATGTCAAAGGACAACACTGAAGAAATCACAATTAGCTACGATATAGTCAGAGGACCGCTGGCAACAAAAGTGAGCACGCCCCTCAGTGAGAATGCAAAAATTGGGCCATTAGTGTCAATAGTTGGCATTTGAATGAATACAAATGTGAAATGTGTATTCACTTTTGCGTTCAAGGCTCTTAAATCTGTCATTTGTGCTGATGTTATTTCTATTGCGCACGTGTACTGTACCAAATGAAGAGTCCGGTGTGGTTCATGTGACACATGCGCATGCTTAGACTACATTCAGTCCATTGTCCTTTTATGCGCTTAGCTCACTATGAATTGAAGGGAGAATGAATCAGGGAACCTTCGGTGCACAATTTCATTCAACTAAAGATGAGAAAGTCTTGGCGTGTATGAAATGTCAGTCTTCCCCCTGGAGTCACTTTCTCAGGAAAGCAGATGTCGTGTGTTACTAATGCGCTGTAATACTAAACCCAAAGTGGGCGGGAGACAAAGTGTCTTGGCATGTGCGTGGGAGTTGGGAGGTGGAGGGGCGCGGGGGTGCGGGGTCACATACCCGACTGCGAGGCCCGAGAGGTCACCGAGATGGTCTGAGTCTCCACGCTGGCCTTCTTGGGGCCGCTCATGATGGCCGAGGTGCTGGCGGCGCGGACGGGACTGGAACTGCTGGAGCGAACTTTCAGCAGTTTTTTCACGTCGTCTAGCTCCGCCCCTTGAGTAAACCACAGTAATGTTGGTCATTCTTCGCGGAGGATAAATAATATATGCCCGCGAGCCGTTATATTGTCTGTTTACATGCGTTGCTGCAGCATTCGTGTTCAAAAATCTGCTGCTTAAGCGGTGATAACATAGCTATTTGTTAGCCTGTCTATGGCATTTTGCAGAATTTGTCTGCTCTCTTCATTGTTCTAAGTGTCAAAGGACCAAAAAATAAGTGATTTTATTCGTTAGATTTTTTTTATTAGTCGACCGCTTCATCAGTTATTGGAGTTTTAGTCTGCCAAATATTGGAATTGGCATCAGCCTGAAAAAAAAAATCATATATCAAATATTGCTGAAGTACTTTGAAAAAAAAATGTCATTGCAAATTGTGTTGAGTTGCAGTGCAGGGCTGCTGGAGAGCGTGCAAAGCATTTTCCCCTTGAAGTTTAAGAACAGAACACTCCTCCCTAACAAATAGGAAGCAGCTGGGAAATTGGACACCCGGCCCATGTGGGGCGAAGTCTGCTAAAACCGCATGGACTGCCTCTCCTGCGTGTCTGCCTTGGCCAGGAATAGGCGGAGTTTGCTGTTTTTATCCTGAATTTAAGTTGCGGTGCTTTACCCTGGGGTTCCGAGTGCCTCTCACGCAAAAAAGTCTCTCGCATCCTGAGCTGAAGATAGAGTTGTGAAACTTCCATTGGTTATCGTGGAAAAATGTACTTTTTCACAACGTGAATGCAAATTATTTGGTCTCTGGAGTCACTAAGCGTGAAATGAAAAATATTCTGCACTGGTTTAAACTTAACCGAGTTTCTAGGGTGGGTGAAGATCAAGAGCCACTTTCTAGCAAGGACACAGTTAGGCTGTTGGACGACACTGCCTGAGACACTATCGAGCAGAAACACCCAGTGACAAACAATGGGAGTGACAAAGAGCTTGAAGCAAGCACGCTCGGCTTCTTATTTGGTGGCTTGTGCAAGAGAGAGCGTCGTCTTCTTTTCGTGTTCTCAAAAGTGATGTTATACGACACGGATGTTACACAATACGGCGCCATTTCTTGACAGGGTGCCCATAGGAAAATTTTGAAAACTGTTTTAATCAGTGTTTAATTTTAATAGGTTCTCTTTGCTTTGCTTTTAATGTCTTCAGCTGTGCTTAGTGTGAAGCACATTGAGTTGTCTTGTGTATGAAATGTGCAGTACATAAGCTTTGTTTTAAAAAAAAAAAAATGCAAAGTAGAGAGACAGAAAAAAATATGGACGGAATGGCTGCAGTTATGGACTTCGATGCAGCAGGGGGCGTGATCACTGAGCAGGAGCATGTGGGAAACAGTGAGTCACTTGAACCACCGCTGTTGCCAAATCTGCACCCGAAGCAGCACATTGCAAAGAAAACCCGCAATCAAGCCCATCTGAACGCCAGACTGGATATTATGCTGAAGGATGCAGCCACGTGTTCTCGATCTCGATATAAACACGCACGTGAGAAATGCAGGAATGTCGTTTGCGGGTCCTCAACTCCGCCCCTCCACCCCACCCCCCCAAAAAAAACGTGATTCCAAAATATCCTATAAAGCATCCACGAGATCCCTTCAGCCAAATAAAAGATGCTTTGTTACTTTATGATACGTTACGTAACAAACAAAAGCGGAGCCCACTCACATCTGCCGGCCGTGGGAGAGGCGCTTTGCAGCCGGGCCCGGATTTCGCTTTCTGGGCAGCGACAACGGAACAAAAAAGATCCAGATTACAATTTAAAAAAAAGAAAAAAAAGGGAGAATTTCAACATGCAGGTGTTGAGGAAAATGGGTGCGTACCTCTGCTCTCGCTTCTCCCTCTGGAGCTGCCGGAGCCTGGAAAGTCCCCAAAACAAAAGCCAAATGATGATGCATATGCTATTTTGATTGAATTAACATCACTGATGGTGATTACGTAGGTTTTGACCTCCGGCGATTATATTAGCTTCTCTAGTAATCTGTGTGACCAAAACCACCACAACAAAATGGCTCCAAATATTGTGACAAATATCAAACACAACAGCTGACTTTTTTTTCTCCTTTATAGCCAGACAAGCTAAAGCTACACTGGTATTTTTTGCACCATGAGATGTTGTGCTGCAACATGATTTTCATCAACAGATGTTTTTGTTCATTTTGTTAAATCGTCCATATGATTTATAATGGATTGGAAAAAAAAAGCCAACAGATGTGATCCGGATTTTATTGAATTAAAAAAAAAAACAAAAGAAGATGGCGGCTAATCAATAGCCTTGTAAATTCCGTTGCATTATTTTTGCAATTTTTCCTCTAAAATTGTTGAATTGAAATGTACATTTAAATTTGTTTTATTTCCTTTTTTAAAATGCATATAATTTTATATATATATATATATACAAACACACACACACACACACACACACACACACACACACACACACACACACACACACCAATATAATT